TGCTATCGCGTCACAAAAAGAGTTGCATTTCGCTAAAATGTTCGCTAAGCAAGGCGACAGAATACGCGCTGGGTTCCAAGAGATCTGTGCGCCTAACTCGAACCCAAGTATTAGAGTAGCATACATGGAAGCAGCCCTGAATATAGTCACACATAACTCAGGCGTTAGCTGGCTACTAGAAAGTGGAGTATGGAAGGACATAATCAGTCTATGTAACGAAAAATCAACGGTATTCCTTGTACGCCAAGTATACAAATTCATGTCAGAATTTCTTTGGAAACTCAACGCTTTAGGCGATGCAAACAATATCAGGACAATAGTCAGTCACTTATTACAACCAATTAGTAAATATGATTTCATCAATGTCCAGTCACTGACGAGTGAAGAAGAGGAAGAAATATGCATCGTAATTGAGCCAACAGTCCAAATACTTTTACATACAGCAAGCATGGATAGACGCATTGAAAACGCAAGTGTACTTATGCACATAATAGTCAAAGAATTTAAAATAAGTTCATATTTGTTAATAGCATGCGAACGAATACGCAAAGACGATATGATATTGAATATTTTTAAACTAGTACATTGGTTGACATTAGCGAAAGTTTTCCTCACAAAGCCAATGGCGCCTGGAGTGCTATATAGCAGCGAGGACTTCCTGGAAGTAGCCGCGTTCAATTTCAATGTGATACAGAATTTTGTTCAGCGTCGCAGTGCGACATCAATCCTGGACTTTTGTTCTACTTGCAATATGATTTGGAATAGGATGTACCAAGACAGAGAATCAGAGATGTGGTTACAAGAAGACAAGAAAGGAGTTAAAAGGAGAAACCAAATGTTGTTTATATTTTTAGTTCCTGTCTTGGTATTTGTTACATATGGGAAGCCACAGTCAGCGTTGACGGACGCGAGAATCCACGACTACATAGAGAGACTGTTGAACATGTCCTGTGAATATACAGCGAAGGCTGCTTATGCTTTCAGGGATTTGACGTCGGAATTGGACACGTTGTCAGTAATTCTTCAATGTGTTAAGAAGCTGATACATTTGAAGGATCATCTAAACGACGAGCAAGCGAATTTAGTATTCCAAGCTTTATTTCATGTGCTACAAGAGTACAATCCGACTGATATGTATGGGGATCCTAAGACAGAGCAGTTCGAAGACGGAGAACAGAAGAATCTTGTGATGACGTATGTGATGGACAACGTGCTGTCGTTAGTCACGCACCGTAACATCAACTGGCATGAGAGTGTAGAGATCATGTGTCTGTATAATGTTGCTATGAACAATTTGGAGAGACCTAACCTCAGTTGCAAAGTAAGTTGAGAAATCATTATCGTTGTTTTTATTACCATTTATTTCAATCAATTACATAGATCATTAATTATACATAACAAAACATAAAACAATATACAAGTCACTATCACACATCAAAAATCACAATCAAAAGTCATTAATCACTGAAATGACCCATCTCCCAACTCAAAACAATAATTTCATATTAGCCAGTACATGAACCATACAACAGTGGTTTATGTACTGACAGTCAAAACGTTCAGCAAAGGCGTTCAGAATACTGTTGCGGCTTCCCCGCACCCTGTTCACTAATGACGTGCACCGCTTGAGCATGACCGCTTTTGCATGATTGTGTTGAAGCAGTCTACCCGTGCGCTGGCAAACATACCCGATGCGCTACAAAAGCGAGGCAGCCCCAAGAGCATCCTGAACGCGTTATTGTATTGAACACGCAGAGCGCTGTACTGTTACTGCGTATAGCTCAACCACAAAGCCTCCGTATAAAAAGACGTACAAAAAGCTCTAAACAAGGTTACCTTGACATTCTCCGAACATCTTGCAAATCTACGGGCTATCATATTCGCACGAACAGACAGCGCTCTACGCTCTATCCGTAGACATCCATAGCTCTATATCAGCATCGTCTTCTAGGTCCGAGGTCAGAATATGTCCAAGATATGTAAAAGTATCTACTCTCTTACAGGGTGTTCAATGTCCATTCGGTATTGGATTCGGGCATCATTTCTTCGCCCGAAAGACCATGCACTCGCTTTACTTCGTGTTGTAAACTAAACCATGCTTTTCAGCATACTGCTGACAAATCGTCCTCGACAACCCGCAATCAGAGGCGCTCAGCAGCACCATATCATCCGCAAAGCTGATATTGTTTATGCTCACCCTCCAACATGACAACCTAACCCATACATGCGTTCTGTTGAGCTCCTCTATCAGAGCATTCATATACAGGTTGAAGAGCTTCGGGGAGATCAGTCCCCTCCGCCTACCTGTTTTGTTTCCCTATTTTGTTCTATGCTTATTCACAATATCGACTACTGATTTGATAATAGTTCAGGGTTGACTACTCATTTTTTGCAGTAGTAGGTAGACACCCATATCCATCCATAGACTGCTCTATGCAGCAGTTAGGCAATGTGGGCTTCATAATAGGAATGATGACAGGGTATGAAAATTAAAAATCTTATTAGTCCGTCAGTTAGATAATGAAAAAAATATTAGACCCTGTACACCAGTACCTACGTCATTTTAGAGTATAAATCGTATTCAACAGTGAGGTCATGCGATATTTCAAATCAATATATCTTCGAAACTATTCGTTTCCTTATGAAAATAAAAAATACGTGTCTAATGTTTTAAATAATCTACCAAACGGACATTAGAATAAAAAATTGTCATCTACTCTATTACAACCATTTTTCAATTTCGAAGCTGTCATTAAACCTTACTTAGTTACCTATTTCTTCTCCTTTCAGTTCGTCGTGGTATCCCTAAAAGTAATAGGTTTGACTGTGAAGAAGTTCCTACAACCAAACCTTTCTTTACTAATGGATTCGAAGCCAGGAGGCTCGATCCATGACTTAGGCAAACTGATCTATATGAAGATGCACGACCGACATTGGGAAATTAGAGACACGGCGTTGGAATTATTGCAGATATGCACCGAGATTGCTTATATCAGTAAGTGGTTCCTTATTAATGAAATTATATTATCAAATAAGAGAGGTTTTTTTTAAGGGGGGAAAATCATCGAATGACTGCTCCCGCCTGGGCGAGGCGGGAGGGAGTGTCAGACTCTTACTGACTAAAAACCACCCCGTTCCTACTCCTGCACGTCGAGCCGGAGCCCCGGTTACCCGTTAGGTTCTCCAAGTCCTTTATATGAGATGTCTGTCCATTATCTCCACGTTTAGCAGGTAGATTGGGATCACAGTTGCAAAAGTATCTTAGTTATTGCTGCCGTTCTGTCAAATGTTGTCTTTTATCTGAAGACACCTAGAAAAGGTAGGGTGATAAAAAAAATGTATTCCACCCTGCCGCCATGGCATAGCTTCATATATCTGTCAGGTCATGATAAAATAATTTACAGACTGCCTCATTGGTGAAGTAATAAAAAAATATGATTTTAATATTAAAATTCTCAATAATAGCACAGAGTTTGGCTGTCGAAAGTTGGTACTTGTCTTACTACTTCTTGACAAATCCAATGTATGATCAGCAGCTACCTGCTACACTTACCATAAACCAGCAAAAGCAATTCTTATTAGCAGATACTTATTTTTCAATTTCCAGAATTCCCACCATTCCAGAACCAATTATTAGAAAATAATGTAATAAACGTAGCGGCCACGATTGCTTTCAACGATTATGAGTCGTACGTGCAGGTGTCGGCGCTCAAGTGCGTAGGCGCAGCGAGCCGGATCAATGTTGTTTGGGACCAACTAATCGCAGAGTACCCTGATATACAGGTTTGTGAACATACAATGTTTTTTTTCCAGAATCCATAATTAATGTATAATTGTAACACTATTAATATTTTGCACTCCGCAAATAGAATCCGCGATCCCAAACTCGATAGTACCACGAGAATTTTGCTAACAACGCTTCAAATCCTAGTTTGAGAATATATCAGAAACTTAAAGGTGTTGCTTTTAATGAAGACACTGGGTTCTACAAAATCTCCTTTTAAGACTTCAACAAATAATTAATCAAACAAATAATCAGTGTAACAAATAAAAATACGTTTATTTATATTCCAGGATCGATTACTCTACATTCTACGGCACAATGAAGAAGGCATCGTGAGAAAAGAAGCATGTAGTGTTCTATGCGACTTGTATCAGAACATGAAACTGACGCCAGCCTTCACACAGACGCTATACGAACACATGGTCTCGTCCGCCCTCACAGATTTCCACTGGGAGGTCCAAATCAGTGCACTCAAGTTCTGGAGGGCCGTCTACCACTCCCTCCTCACCGGACAAGGTATGCTCGATGGAAACTTCCCACCAGTCACATTTTCTAGAGAAACTAGAAAAATAGTCACGCTCAATGAAGCAGAGATTCAAAGGAGATTAATAAAAATATTAGAGGAACTATCAGCGATCGGATGTCTTACCGTATTTGTTACATTACTTCATGACCAAACTGAAGTAGGGATAATGGAAGCCACTCTAAATATAGCACAAGAACTTTATGATATACTTAAAAGGCATAATGTACCAGACAATATAACACCGAAAGAGGGTGATATAACTAGCGTGGATCAACTACTTACACATATTAAAGAAGAAAAGGATTACACAGATGACAATGTAGACATGATTGATGCGCAGAGCTCTGAGAATGTTATCGAGGAAATTTTAAACGCAGATGACGTCAACCTACTCGCTAGTATATACGAGAGACACATGACACTACAAAGTACCAAACCAGAACCTCCCTTAAGACCAAAGATAAAGGTAATAAAATTTGCTTCCCCCTACCTTTTCACTACATACATCAAAAATACAGACTTTAAACAGATTATTGAGGATAAGAGAGTATGGAACGATGGTATTAGAAGCCTGTCCTCCCTACTCGATGATGTTCTATGCCTATATGAAGTGAATGAAGACGCCAATGCACTAGATTGTTATTAATTAAGAAGAAACTGTTACTGTTACGAAGAAAAATGCTACTTTAAGTAAGCGTAAACATTATATTTTCTTAAAATCACTTTGTTTTTATTTACAACTTAATATAAGTAATACGAATCAAAATACTTAGATCATTTGGGACTTAAACAATACTTGACGAGCTTACATCTAGAACTTATATGTCTAAAATTTCATCTAGCAGTCCATCTAAGTTATGGTTAACATCTGAATTCCATTTCTTCTTTTCTTTAATTATTGCACGGAAATTCGTACCTTTGAATGTTTCGAGGAATTTGTTTGGATGTATGATTTCTTTACGTTGTACGAACACATTGTAATCTTCTTCCATTTCATTCGATTTAGTTTGAAAACTATTATCATGTAGAATCATTATGAGTTCACTTTGATCAGTATTGACTATGCGATCTATAACTTTTTCTCTGGCTTCAGCATTATTTGCTCTAGTCAAATCTAGAGCCATTTCTTCATCATGATCGTCGTTCTTCGGACCCATGGGGTAAGTGAGAGCATTGTCAATGATTCTGACGAATTTGTATTGATCTAGTATTTGTATTAGTTCGGTAGCCATGATGTAAGCCTGTTCCATGACTTCTAGGTGATGCATCTCGTTCATACATTCGTAGAGTACTGTGAGGCAGCCGATTGAGGATAGAGTGTGCATTATAGCTGTGAGTTGTCGAAGGATTTCTCTGTCGTTTAACGTTATGATCTTCCGTTTTTCTTTTGAGAAGGTGACGGATGGGAACTTCCCGTCTATCATTCCTCGGTGTGATAGTTGATTGGCTATCTCATGTTTGAAGAACTGTAGTGCCGCCAACTGTACCTCCCAGTGCAGGTCGTCCAATGCTGCTGAAATCATTACCTCGTACAATGTTGATTGGAACGTTGGTGACAATTTTTGGTTCTTATAAGCACTGGTCAGCACTTTCGTTGCTTCTTTCCGCACCATTCCTTCTGGGTTGTTTCTTAATATGTAGACCAGTTGGAACTGAAATTGTAGAAATTAAACTTAGAGGAAATTTTAAAGAAATTGAATTTTCCTATAAATCACCATAAATATATCTCTTTGATGTTACGTCATTTTTCCAGTAACAATTTTTCTGCATTTTTCTTATCACATCATCAACTCGGTTTTCTGTCATAATTTTTTAAACAGATATCTACGTTTTGTGCATTGCATTCGCAAAACCTGTCTAAAGATATGCTGTAGCTGTTTGTGACCCAAATTGAAATAATCGACACCTCACACAATTTATCCATATACTCTCGCTACCGTCTTAGCCTATTCACATTTCCAATAACTATTATAGAAATGAAATACTCACATAGATATGTGGATTATCGATGAGCACCTCTTTCCAAATGCAGTCGATTTTAGTAGCTGCAGCCAAACACTTGAGGCCGGTAGACTGCACGTAGTACTCCGGGTCTGTGAGCGCGGCCTTCGCTGCGTAGATCATCAGGTTGTTCTCACTTATCACCTTCTGCAGGGGTATGTATTCTGAAATATGTAGGTAAGAAAATAAGGCAATGATTTGTTTGTCCATTGGTCATATGAGGTAATAAGTTAAGATTCAATGTTTCGTCGACTAATGCTGAGTTCATTAGATATTCTCGAAACAGGCTAGGTTAAAAGTTGTTGTAACCGCCGTACTTGCAGGGCCATCTTAGACTATCCCGGGGGCTTTGCGCACACAATGATTCCGGGCCCTATTAAAATGATTTTTTTGTTTTCTTACCGTTGCCTCACACTAGAATTTTCATGACCGCATCACATATGACCGGGTCCATGAAGAGGTGACATGATAAGAGGTTCAATTCATATTTTTAGATTTTAGTTGCTTGCTTAGTCTCGCGTGTTGTGCATAAGGGGCAAGTCGAACTATAGTACATTATTTTTTAATGCGGAGTTGTCTATATTCTCACCTATCCTTCCTTAACTTTAGTTAGCAAGTGTTCCAATTTTGAGTCCAAGGTGAGTCTAATTGTTGACTCAAGTTAATTTCAGTTGACAAAACATATTAGCGTGGTTGCACGTTAGGACTTATAATGTATCTCGTCCCTACTTATGTGGAGACATTTAATATACCTAATCCGATAACTATAGTGCTTAGAATAGGGGGCCGGACAAATCAAGCTGTGTTTTATTCTCTTTGAAAAAGGGCTATTATTTAATGACTTATAATTTTATTAGACACTTACTAATAAAAGAGAGATCCGTACAGCTTAGTAGTAGGTTCAAAGCCGAGTCCCGTACCTCCCAGTCATCGTGATGCATGTATGTCTTCATGACCGCTCCTATCACAGTCAATGTGCTCTCCTGCCTGCTTTCCACCAGCAGCGTCATGTTCGGGGACAGGAACTTCTTCATGCAAAGGTCTATCAGATCTAACACTTGTACTATTTGCTGAAAATTAAATTTTATCTGTATTAATTTACTATTCATTGTATTTGTTACCTGATTAATCTATTGGGTGTCAAGCATACATAGGTATGATCTAAGTCTAAGTATACAATATTAGAATAAATAATAATTAAAAAAAATCTCAATTCTAACATGGCTTTTTCAAGATCGGTCCAAGTATGACCCCTGAGGAACTCCTTAAAACTGGTACTCGAATGCAACTATGAACAACAGAAAGCTTATTATTACCTTTATATTCAAGATGTCTTGCTTGAGCAAATTCATGAGACCCTCTTGCAGACTCGCTATCTCGACGTTTTCGTACCACGATATGTTGTAATCCTTCAGCAACATTCGTATCGCATCTAGAACTAGTGATAATAGTCTCATATCGTTCGGAGTCTTTATGGGATTGTCGTTCACAATGAGTCCACCGGCTCCGTCCAATAATATGTAAATATCCAATATGTGATACAGACCTATAAAATACAGGCCTGCCTGTGTCTGCGTGAGATAGTCCTTCAATCTGGACATCTCTCTGATGGTCGAAATAGCGGTTTCTGTCAAATCTTGGGTTTCTATAACGGGCTTGTACGTATAGCATAGTGTGAATATATGCTCCGCTAAAGTTCTTCCAATTTTTGTTAGAAGTTTTTCTATAAATTCTTGTTTTTCAGCGTCCGTCCGACCGGGTTTGATTTCAATTGCACACATCAATAAGGGCTGGACCAAAAACACAAATACTTGATCGGACACTTGGAATTTGATTCCGTTTCTTTCAAAGTAAAGTGGGAATGATATTTTGTCTTTGTAAGTCTTCTCGAATTTGGACCAGAATATGTTACACTTAATGCAATAGTCTATGAGAACTGACATTTCTCGTTTTTTAATGCAACGTTGTACGCAGTTGTGATAGAAGACTACCAATTCATTACAAAATTCTTGTGTTTTACCATTGAAGAGATTGTGTCTATGAGAACTGTAATAGAATATAAATATTATATCATTTGCTAATTTCAATAAATTCGGATATCTAGTTACTTTCCATATAACAAATATAGAGCGCTCTACTAAGAAATACGATCTTAACATTTTTATCACGTGGTTTACCGGAATGTCTTCCATAGTCTTCAGTACGTTTAGCAGCGCGTACATATGGGAATATATTTTTTCTGAGAGTATTGTGTCCGTCTCGTTGTCTATAATTTTCACTGTCTGATATGCGCTCGATATTATAGGTTTGACGACGTAATCCAGTACTTCTGACAGTTCTGCTTCCATTTCGTACTCGTTCAACTCCAAAATCAATTTGGCTATGAAGTTATAAGAAGCATTAGCTATTTTGGTAGGTGCCCGGTGGGTGTTTTCAGTTAGTATGTACTGCCAAACTTTATGTTCAAGGAGTAGTTTCAGTCCAGAGAGATGCGTTATCTGCACCGTTGCCAATTTTATGCAAGCCAAATTAAGCCCTCGATTTTTAGTGCTCAAGTTGGCGAGAATGCATGTGAAAATCGAACTATGTATTTTGGCAAACTGAAGCTCATTTTTGAAGAGTATCGTAATGATTTCAAAGAGGAATATTTTGACTGATGTCGTGGCATTGTGTATGCTCTCGAGTGAATTAAATATGAGATCTGAGAAGCAAGGCGTATCCAATACAAGCTTGCCGGGACCTGGAAAATAGAAAAGGTTCGAGTTAGACTTTACGTAACAAGGACATTTGCACCAAATATTATTCTGTCGATGCTAAAGATAATCAAATTAATTAAGTTAGGTAGGTACTACTTAGTAACTGATTACGTTATCTCTTCAATTAAACAGCTTCCAAATCCTAGAAAGTAAATATTTATGCATGATGCAATAACTAGAAAGTAAACATTATTTATTTACTCCGTGTTATTGAAAAGTAAGCATGACTAAGTAGCAAGCGATAAAATTAGCGTTTCGTTCAACCATCTACGTATGTGAATCATCTACTTGATGACGTTTTAGGTAAAATATGTTATCATAAGAATCGAGGTACAATATTAACTGAAATGATTAGTCCACGATAAGCTAGTCAGATTAAAATTATTAGGTACCTACACAAGGAAATTATTGTCGTTTTTTTATAAGAATCTTTGTCGCATTGGTGAATCTACTTTTAAGTGGGGAAAGCCAAACTTCAGCACGAATGGGCCGGCTCGACCGGAGTGATACCACGGCCTCACAGAACACCGACGTGAAACAACGCTGGCGTTGTGTCTTCGTATATGTGAGGTTACCGGAGGTTCAATTACCAAGTCTCCCCAATCCCCGAATCCTCCACAATCCTCAAATTCCCAAAAGGGCGGTAACGAACTTGTTTCAGGTGTCCATGGGCGGCGTCGATTGCTTACCATCAGGTGATCCGTGTGCTCGTTTACCGGCTTATGCCATAAAAAAAATCTACCCAGATATAATAAAAACTATCACCGTACCACACCGTGTCAATGTTGTCTGGCTTATACCGTGTGTTAAACTTGTTAGTAAATGTCTATTTCCGTCTAATTGTCAACAAGGAAACAGTTGAATTAACGAAGGAGACTAATTAAATGTCACTTTACGTCTTTTTTCCTACTTGGTCTTTGTGATGTTTCTGGCTTATTGTTGGAATGGTTTGAATAGGAACGTAAGTTCAACAGGTGAATAAATTATGATTGGATTTTTCGATTTTCTAAAATGTACCTATATTGTTGAGATTCTTCACATCTGGTTTAAGTACATAACTGGCCAAACGTGGATGCTGTTTTCGTAATACAAACGTCAGCACCAGATTATGGTCAGCTAGACTATTCTGAAATTTTTAAATTAAAAGATAGAAGTGTACTCGATCGCGGTGCATGATGTCATTAGTTGTAGGTAAGAATAATTTCGACCAATGATGTGCGAGAATGTGATCGAGCTCATTTCGAAAGTTTAAATTGACAGATATAGGATAGCATAGCAGTAGCGCGTTTCGCCTGTCGCATTATAGTAAGCTCTTGCACACTGCTGTTGACATGGCAATGAGAGATTATATATATAACTAGCGACCCGCCCCGGCTTCGCACGGGTGCAATATGTATATATACATACAAACCTTCCTTAAGAATCACTCTATCTATTAAAAAAAACCGCATCAAAATCCGTTGCGTAGTTTTAAAGATCTAAGCATACATACGGACATACAGCGAAAGCGACTTTGTTTTATACTATGTATTGATTAACATTGCAGAAATCGGTTTGACATTTTTTGATCTTATTCTTCTCTAGACCTGCCTACCAACGCGCAATTAAAGAAGATCCTGATCTCCTTTATTGTCGCGTTAATATTTATTGTTAGTTTATTATGCACTTATGGTTCAAGGATGGCCTGAATGTTTACCGCGTAATAAATAAGGATAAGTGAACGAAATCTGTCTCTGGCGCATAATGTTACTACGGCTGAATAAAATTAGGGAACTTAAATCTTGTGTACCTTTTTATTCATTACATCCCTAAGCGGAAAAGATTCCGGCGAATTTTTATACCTACCTATAAAAATATAAAAATTAGCCGGAAAACTTGAGGAAAAGCTGTAACACCGGTGCAAAACTGTGATCTGCTACAGCTAGTAATATAAAGAAAAATTAAGGTAAGGTGACTGCCACGTTATCGGGCGAATACACGATGACTATGCCCATTTTATATCGTTTGCCAATAATGAGATAAACTTAAAATGTCAAATATTATCGTATGTAATATAAACATACGCCCTTGGCAGTGGGAAAATGGCGCTACACTGTGATGGCTATCACGATCCATAATACAAACAGTGACTGGCGGTGATAATGATGACGCAGCATTATTTTTATATCAAAGTCCGTAAAGAAATCCTGCGTAATCATGAACAACATAACATCATGTTAATCCACGAAGAGGCTAACACAATCACCCACTTTTGGCTAGTTTCAGCTCACTCCTAAATTAGCATAGCTCGGTTTTTTTAAAATATCTACATATAGTGATAACTGTTAGCTGCTCTTATTAAAATTTCAAAGAATCTAGATGAGGCCTCAATCTTTTAAACGCCAGAGCAAAAACACGTCAACCTGCCCTCAACGCCAAGCCACAAATTCCGCGCAAAGGAGATCATTTATTTTGGGCCTTTTCTGAAAGTGAAGTTCTTTTCAAATTATCATCACAATTGTCTCAGATTCTTTATTCTAGTAATTTCGATTATTATTTTGAGTTTCCTAGCACCTTTAGAAAGCGATAAATGTATGAAAATTATGAATCTTCAAACTGGTGTAACTTCGTCATCTTGGATCCTACAACTTTTATACCAAATTAACAATTTTTTCATTTGACGGCACTTTCAGGAAAGGTCCAAAAATGTATGAAGCCGAAATTATCTCCTTTTTACGAAAGAAATAGGGAATGAAATTGTTGATTTCGTGTTTCCGGTTCCGCTTTTTCTGTCATGTATTTGTCGTTGGCGTCCAGGGACAGTTTTCGCTTGTCACCTATACTTATGTGACATTGGCGCTCAAAAGGTTAAGACTAAGAAGTTCGTCTACGTGGATTTCACTACACTGAAGTATTCTATTATATGAGTCTGCATGAGTCATTGAGTATAAATATCCTGTCTAAATGATCATCGCAGTACCTAAACTAATTTTTATTTAGCCAGAGCATGAATACTCCTAACGTACAGCATGGCATATCTACATTGGAAATACATAACGCCTTTTTTAAGGGGGAAAAATCAAATGGCTTTTCCCGCCTGGGTGAAGCGGAAGGGAGTGTCAGATTCTTACTGACTACCCACCCCGTTCCTACTCCTGCAATTCGAGTCGGAGCCTCGGCAACCCGTTATGTCCTCATCGTGTTTAGAGAGCACAGAGAGATGTAAAATTTTAAGAATTTACCTGGTTTTAAAAATAGTTAGGTATGGTTTTCTTTGTACCCATACTAGACGGATGTGAATCGTTGGTGCAGCTTAAGAAGTAGGTGTAAAAGGAATGATTAAACGTAAATAAATAGAAATGTAGATTGATACCTACATATTTGTATGTCTAGTTTTTAATAAACTATACTGTAGACAAACTCATGCACAATTTGTAATGGACTATGTAGTGTGTCTATGTTATTATTACTAGTGAGACTGCGGCTATTATTGAGTAAACATTGTAGCTGATGATGACAGAACTGGTTCTTTACGTTTCAGTGGATCCAACTACTGTTAGTTGTAGTAGTACTAACAAAAGCGAAATAAACACTAAGATCATGATTGGCGTAAATATTGCTTACCTACTTACTTAGGTATTTATTTATTTAGTTAAGTACCTATGCAAATTGTAAGTTAACACAGACACGCCACTAAATAGTTAGTTACGAAAGAATTAAACAATTCTCTCGTAACTAACTCAGTATAAAAGCTTATATCGTCATATTTTTTTGCTATAAATAACTATTTGAGTTTTTGCCACTTTTGGATCCAACAGTTGAGACTTGAGAACCTATTTTTCCATTACTTTTTTGTTGATGTAATCTTTATATGGACTGGTGTAATAAATGGCGATGTTTCTGAATTGTTGTGTTCATCATTTGGATATAGGATAGAAACAATCTTAAATAGGGAGTTAAAATCTTTCTTCGCATGGTTTCATCGATTGTTCTAACTTCAGTTTTAGATTATTTCAGTTTCAGTTGTACCTAATACTAGGTCTTAAATTGTAAGTAGTATTGGAATTCTAAGTACCGAATACTTCCTAAGTATGGGATATGGCAAAAAATATTTTGTTGCTTGTAAAACATGTAGTAGGTAATGACTGAAACTAGAAGTTCATTTGGAATATGCCTCTCTGGCTATGTATTGTTATGTAGGAATATGACGTATGAAGTTGACATTTAAGTTTATAAACATGTTCTAATTAATCTGTGGTATGGTAAATTATAAAAGATAGTGCGCCACTCACTATTATCACTGCGATCTTCCAGAAGTTTCAATAGTTTTTCCGTGGTATTCTCATTTAGCACAACTTTTCCTTCAAACACATAGTCCAATAACAACTTAAACTTTTTCAAATATTTGCTCACTTCCATTTTCCAAGTTAAAAATGATATTACATGCACACCTCCGCTCTGTGATCACATTTTATCAACACAGATTTGATAACACACCTAAACACCGTCACGACACTCCGAATGAACGATATTATATGGAATATAATGCGAATAGACACGTTAATAGTCAGATAATATTGAGTTGAAGTTGTCACAGGAAAAAATACAAATAATACAGAACAATAATTTTGCTATCTTAAAGTACACACGCAATGTCGTGCTTGCCGCGCGCCGTTTAAGAGCGGACTAGGATATCAACTTGTTTTTTTTTTAACTGAACAAGGCCAAATACAAAAATACGTAACTAAGTATTATATAATTATCATAATCACTGTGTTGCTCTGACTGCTTGTGCTCTAAGCGCATTTGGCTATCGACTGGCGTGTCTGTATAGCAGTCTCTATGAATCTACACATATCTAAGTAAAACACTTGTACCTGACATAGCTTAGGTAGGTACCTACATGTTTGTTTTATTTTTTACACGTCTTGATCGCGGCAATCTCAGGGTCTTTTATGTTTATAACAATCACTCAGCACACACGTGTTTTTTGTTCTCTTAAATATTAGTTAGTACCTAGTAGTAGTAGCATCTAGTTAGGTGTTAGGTAGGCTGGTTACGTGTTACAGTTTTATACCGTTTTGGGATTGGATCTTGTCTGACGAAATCCTGTTGAGCAGACTAAAAATTAAATGATTCTCGGTTTTCATTGTCCCAACTTTTATATCTGGTAGGCACGTCCGTCTATCATAGAGACTGCCACTTAGTTTGATTTGTTATGAACAGTTTCAGAATATATGTACCTATGTTATAAAATTGATCTACGTTTCGAAAATCTGAATATACATTTATTAGAAGTGCTCAACCTGACACATCAGTACCTATCAGCACTGTTTACTCGTGGAACTCGAGCCAGCAAGTCCAATAGAGACATCCAAAATAGCGAAAATATCGACATAAGACAAGAGATACCTACTTATCTATGTCCAAAAGACGAGAATCTAAAAATAACTTTAAACTTTATCAACATTAAATATCCACTATCTTCAGTTCAGCTTCACTGCAAACGAAATATTCATTGCAAAACATTATGAAATTGTCTATCCACAACAAAAATGGGCCTAGTGATGATGACCTAAGAAATTAAAATTTTATCTTATGCTTGCTCAGTGTATTTTCAAGCAAGTGCAAATTGGCTGCGATATTACATTATGATTTTTAAGCAAATATAATAGTAATAGACACATTACGTGATGTAGAGGTGGTTTAATTGTTTAGACGAAAACCGATCTTAAAGATCTAGTTCGACAAACAAATAAGAATCAAAATTGCATTGCCAACCAAAGTGGAGTTTTTTTTTGTTTTTTTTTTTATGGAATAGGAGGCAAACGAGCGGACGTATCACCTGATGGTAAACGATCAGCGCCGCCCTTGGACACAACACCAGAGGAGTCAGAGGTGCGTTGTCGGCCTTTTAGAAAGGAGTACCTACGCTCTTTTCTTGAAGATTTGATAGTCGTATCGGTTCGGAAATGCCGCCGACGACAGATTATTTCACAGTTTTGCTGTGCGAGGCTGAAAGCTATGTGAAACTGAGAAGCGCACAGTTGTGGCCTGCCAACCATCTATATGATGGGGATGTATATTCTGTTGTGAGGGTCGATGGCGAAAAGATGCGGCAAGTATCAGGTCAAACAATTTCTTAGCTACTTTGAATAGCTAGTACGCCTTTTTTGAAGAACCTGTGGAGGTAATTACGGCAGGAAGTTCCTTAATAATCCGAGGGTCCAGAGGAGGAGAAAATATCTATCAAACCGTATAGGTAATAGAAATAGAATAGATTGTTCGTCGCGCATGTCTTCTTCTTCTTCAAATGGAACTTCTGCCTGTGACGCATCTTGACCTTAAGCATTTGGTGCTGCAGTACTGTGAGGACACTCCACACGTGATCTTGTACTTTAATTTAGTTTTCATTTTTATAATCTAAGTAATTTAATTTGATTATTGAAATTGGTGCATACTTACCGTGTTAATCAATAAAAAATAAAATTTTCAATGTTATCGCAACTTAAATTCGCAAATCGCCTCTCTACTTTGTGCCTTCGCCGGATCATGAGCTATTTTAGACAAATAGCGAGACGCGAAGAGAATAGCTCATCGTCATGGGAAATATCGAATTGTGAAAGGAAAGAGGACGAATCCCAACTACATGGTCAACCAGCTCAAGAACAACTCAGCATCGAGGTTCTACACCACAATGCAAATGGCCGCAGACAGGAGGCGATGGAGACTATTCGTCCGATCCAGAGATGACGATCCTCTGTCATGAGGGAACGACCGGAGAGAGAGCGCATACCGGTACTTCATATTAGATATTATTTATGGTCGTTGGAAACCTGAAGTGAAGAAAGACAGACGTATTTCTTTTACCGTATATTTATTGATTTTCTGTTTTTATAGGACGTAAGTTTGCAGCCATTTTATTAGTAGGCGCTTTAGTTGTCTTAAATAAATAATGAGCTCATTGTACAGCACTCTAGATCACATACAAATAACTGCCGATTGTCCGGCAAGCAGGTGGTCTGATTAGATTGCTGGGTCAAGTGAATAATTGTTGGGAATTTTTGCCTTTTCTAACGCCACAGTACGGAGTGTCCAGTATACTAACATAATTAGTATTATGCCAATAGGCTCATCCTTTTTGTGGATGAAAAAGCGTGATGTTATGTAATATTATGTTCCCTCTCACTATAGACCTATTTCTATTCTCCCTTTTCTCTCCAAGGTCATGGAACATATTGTTCACAAACAACTAACGGCCTATCTATCCAGTAATAATCTCATTTCCTCCTTCCAGTCAGGTTTTCGTCCTGGTCACAGCACCGTCACAGCTTTGCTCAAAGTTACAGATGACATTCGCTGGGCCATGGATAATAAATCTCTTACTCTTCTTGTTGTTCTGTTGGACTTCAGTTCCGCCTTCAATTCCGTAGATTTTGATGTCCTGTTAGGTATTCTTAAGTCCAACAATTTCTCCTCTTCTTCCTTATCCTGGTTCAACTCCTATCTCCGGGGCCGCCGTCAGCGGGTTCGCCTAGAGGATACCTTTTCCGATTGGTGTGACCTCGCTGCTGGCGTGCCTCAGGGTGGTGTCCTTTCTCCAGTTCTTTTTTCCATTTTTATTAACACCGTTGCCATGGTTATCACTTCTAATTTCCACCTCTACGCAGACGACTTGCAGCTTTACCGTCATTTCAAGCTGTCAGAGGTCGACTCTGCAATTGAAGCCATGAACCGTGACCTGGGTGGGGTCGACGAGTGGGCCAAATCCTTTGGCCTGCAAATCAACCCCCTCAAGTCCAAGGCTATGATAATTGGTGGTAGGTTTTACCGCAACGCATTGAGCATCTCTGCCCTTGATCCTTTGATCCTAAATGGCAATGTTATCCCTTACACTGATGTTGCCAAGAATCTGGGCGTGTTTATTAATTCTAACCTTTCGTGGGGTGAACAGGTGAACGAGATCAGTCGTAAAGTTCATTTCTCTTTGCATTCGCTGAAGCGTCTCCAGTCTCTTCTACCTCTGAAAACGAGGATCAACCTTATGCAGTCTCTGATCCGTCCATTGATCGACTACGCTGATGCTTGCTATTTGGATGCCACGGAGGAGCTTCTAAATAAACTTGAGCGCTTGCAAAATGTCTGTATACGCTTTGCCTTTGGTTTAAAAAAGTACGATCATATCTCTGAATTTCGCAAAAGACTCAAGTGGCTCCCAATCCGACTTCACAGGAACACTCGCATCTTATGTCTTCTTTTCAACATACTTTTTAATCCCGATTATCCCTCTTACCTTCGTGAACGTTTTTCCTTTGCCCGCCCTCCTGAGGCTCTTTCCCGATCTCATCTTAAATCTAATCTTTCTGTTGTCTCACACAATACTGATTTTTACACCTATTCCTTCACTGTTCATGCAGTGCGACTTTGGAATTCCCTACCACCTAATATCCGTGATTCTAAATCCATCCCAATCTTTAAAAGACTCGTAAGGGAGCACTACCTTTCCTCATCTTGTTCAAATTAGTGTCATATATATATATATAATATGTTTATTTGTAATATACTCTAATATGTGTATTATTTGATGTGTATCTATCATATGTATGTATAGGTCTATTATTTTATTGTGATCTATTTATTTAACACATTTCATGTCATGTTACGCACAGTGTCTCTTTTTTTTACCGTTTTTCCTGTCGAAGGACTGCAGGAAGAGATTCCTTCGGGAATATGTAGTTCCTATGTACCTCCTAAATATTTATATATGTTCTCCTGTGTACTGTCTGTGTGTTGTGCATAAATAGATAAATAAATAGATAAATAAATAAATAAAAATTATCATTACCTACTCATGTTTAAGAACTTTTTTAACTACCATGGATGTAATTGATTAACTGATTTCAACAAATCGGTACTCAACTAAAAAGAAATAAGACATTCATATTTGAAATGCATTTTTATATTTATTGTAATTTCTCTAAATAATTTACATACTAAACACTTAACCTAACATAACAATCTATTCTATTTCTATGACGCCTCCGACTTTGCTGAGAGCTTCCTTTAGTTTTTCAGCTTCATCTTTGGACACATCAGCCTTGACAACTGTGGGGACGCTTTCAACAAACTTCTTGGCTTGAACAAGATTGTAACCTTCTAGGAGACCTTTGACCTCTTTGATGAGTGCCACCTTCTGTTTGTCATCGAATTTGGTGAGTTTTACCTAAAGGGAAAAGTTTAAAAATTAGCACAAGAATATTCATAACATTCAATGATGAGTACAAATGCTACTTTGTGCAACATTTACATACATAAATATCATTGATTTAAATTAACTTGGTTCATCAGGGTTATATTCTTATTGGTAAGATTGACTGCATGCAATACTCAAATCATGAGTGGAATGTTGCTACTAAACATATACAAGTTGATACTTACAGTAAAGCTAGTTTTCACAGCTTTAGAAGCAGCCTCCTCTTCATCCTGAGCAGCAGGAGCCGCCGCAACGAACCCGCCCATTGGCATTACAGGTGCGTCAGGAAGATTCAACCTCTTTTTAAGAACCTGACTAAGTTCTGACACCTCAAGGAGGTTTAGATTCGTGATCTCAGAGACAATCTTCTCAATTTTTGGGGAAACAGGTTTGTCTACTCCCTCCGGTACTGGAATAGACAGAGGAGTTGCTGCTTGAGCAACTTCTTGACGGAGGATTGCACTGAAATAATAAATAGAAAATTATTTCGTATGATTGCTTATGTTATATTTAGAAATATTTTATTATGTTTATATAATAATAGGGATTGTAAGAACTGTTTCTTGGTGAAAAATGAAACCAGGACGGGCACTCAATGTTTGATAACCTAAAGAACTAGGCAGTTGTAAAATAAAAGAGTAGTGCTCACCATCGTGAAAATGATCGCCACTGCAGTGGGAGGGTCCTAATAATTCTTACACCATTCATGATTGTCAGTAGTTAATTTATTTCTGTTTTTAACAATTTCTAATTCTATCTACTTTGAGGTTATGATTTTTTCGGATAGATGTGAATGAACGAAACGAATTTTAATGACATCTGTCATTCATCGTTTCTTGAATGATTTGGATACTTTCATGGATATTTCTGTTTCTGTTACGAATTACTGCATCAAATAATATTTTATTAAAGATATTTAATTTTAAAAACATTTACATAATCTATTTTTTATTTATATTGAATTTTTAATGAACGTTTATTAATTGCTGGCATACTGGCAAGTGTCGTAGCAACACCTACAATAATGTGTCACTGTCAAAATAGCAAAATACTTTCTGCGAGTTGAACTATTCGTAGTTAATAATTTATTTTATTTTCTTATAGGTTTAAGTTATTTTCGTATTGGCGTAGTAATACAATGGGAAGATGATATCAGAATGGTAGTTGCATTATCATTCACAAAATCTTAGTACAAATTATAAATATTGACAGTAAACAGTGTTATCACATTACAACCTGGATCAGCTGTTTTTTTTGCGTTGTGGACCAAGGTAAGTCTGTATATTTGTTTTTATTGTTTGAACATATTAAATATGTAAACTATAATACTTAATGAATGTCTTATTGATAAATACTGAAGCGCTAACTATTCAAGAAAATTATAAAATTGATATTAGAATAGACTACAGTGTCATATAATAATAGTAACACCATTCTCTCAATGGTAGTTGCCCAAAAATTAGGCGAAAACTACTTCAACTACTTCCATAAATGTTAATCTTAGTTGTTTATCTTTGATCTTAATTTTATTCACTATACTTACGAAGTTAAAGTACGTATTTGGTAACATCATGTCATTCACAATGTAATTTTATTTAGGATCCAAACCACAAATACCTACAAAAAATTATGTTATTGTTTTAACCCTTTGACCGCCAATGTCACATATACGCGACAAGCGAAAACTGTCCCTGGACGTCAACGACACAAATACATGACAGAAAAAGCGGAACCAGAAACACGAATTATTGGAATCCCCATTGTTGATACAATAGGGATTCCAATAATTCCTATTTCTTTCGTAGAAATTTGCGTGGAATTTGTGGCTTGGTGTCGAAGGCAGGTTCATGTGTTTTTGCTCTGGCGTTCAAAAGGTTAATGTTAATGATTTACAAACTCGTTTCATTCAAGTTCTTTTTTATCTAGATAGGTACTCTGTCTAGGCAGTATTATCCTTCCGCCGAGTACTGGCTAGTGTCAGTAACTCCGCTGGGAGTCCCGACTCCACTACACAACCACTGTAATAACACAATAGGCACTTTACAGAAAATGATGATAATTATCAAACCTAAGATAGTTTTAAGTGAGGCACTTTTTACATAATGCTGCATTTTTAATAATTTTTGTTGTTATATAATCATAGTTAAGGATTTAAATAATGTATAAAAATATCCAACTTTTTTGGTACACTATTATTTTATAGATACAGTCAGAGACAACATTTATTTGAATTAATCTACACAGGGACAGATAGTTTTCAAATATCAGAACAGAATATTCAGTATCTGAATAAAAAGAAAAAAGATATTCATTAATGGCTTTTAAAAGTAAGAATCCAAAATAAAATGTAATAAAAAGGAAAGTTTTGAAGTACCCAGTTATTCAATTAATTACTTCATAGCTTGATGAGCTACAATATTAGGCAAATTTTAATGTTCCAAATGTTTTTATAGTAACTATCATGAGGCATACTAAATTAACCAAAAATACTATAACTAGTTCCAAATATTTTCCCAGAAGGTAAAGAAATCTAAATTAGGTAAAAAATACTTGAGAAAATAATAAATGAAGAATTAAAATATTGTAACTTTGTTATTGTTCCATTACTCTACACGACTCTCTCACTTTATAATCTTCTTCGATAAGTAGACAATCCAACACAAAAAAAAATATTCAAAACAAACCAGTAATTAAACTCTTTAGCTTTTAATAACAAGTAGGTATATAACACAATAG